TAACATAACAGGTTTGAATAACCTATTGGAAAATCCAATATTTCAGGAACGTATATATGATCACAAAAATCTATCTGAAACTGCTGCTGAAATCAGTGAGACAAATCCTGAAGTCCAGAACCATGTATACGATGGTGAAATTTGGCTGAACCATTAATGTGCAAATAAGCACCCTGGTTCTATAAACCATTCCACATGTGCTTCACTTTAAGTACATTCCCAAAGACAGCGGGGAATTAGCAACAGTCAATGAGATTTCACTGTCTTTAAGTTAAGTACATTTGCAAATGTTCACAGGACTGCACCATAGTATAAACAGCTATCTAGCTAACTGAGGAGCAACAAATATCCAGGTATTTTTATAATTCTTCAAAGCAAAATTTTAAAGAGCAATGTGTCAGTTTCTTTTTTAAAAGCCCCTCCCCCCAAACTTAATTTCTGCCCTCCTGACCTCTTTGACAGCTCTTTTATCCCACTTATTTTCCCAAGAAAACCATTATCCTAATGAAAAAACAGTAAATATAATCCTAAACCTATTTAAAAATTAGGAACCAGAAATTAGAGTTGCCTTGTATGTTGTGACAAATAATATAAAACTGTGCTAATAGGCTTTTCAGTTTAAAGGCAGCCTTGGGGTCTTCATGTGTGTATATGTAATAAATCATCCACTGAAAAGATAATTACTGCATTAATGAGGGGAAAACTAGCTTGATAGCAATTATACTAAACTATTCAAATGGAAGTGCACACAGATGGTTCTTTGTTATCCAACACACATTATTAAGAGAGTTGTTTCATTACATTAGTTCACTCAGTTAAAAGGAAATAATCAGGATCTGGTTATTAATCACAGTAATACCACATTGGCTTTGTAAACTGAGGAGGTTTTTGACTGCAAAAACAAAATGGAACAGAAAAGGCTGATTAGGGACTTAGATCAGAATTTTCAAAAATGGTGAGAGCTGGATGATGTGTGGGAGAAAAGGGTGATCTTTCTCGGCTGCCCTGAATATAACACCAGTTTTTAGGAAGCTGTTTGACTGTGGGAAGGAGTTTAAAATACATCTCTAGTATTGCTTACTCTGGCAGGGCTTTGGCACCTACCACCAGGGCATATTGGCAGCATAATTTTCAGAAAGGTGCAATTTAACATGAAAATATGCGCATGTATAGGTATACTTGACTATTCCCCATTCTGCAGTTCATTCCCATTTTTTGAGCAAACACGTGACTCCTTTCCCCACATCCAACAAGCAACACTCCACAGGTCTTCCATCTCAACATTGCTGCTGGCATCCTCAAGGTTTACGTCGTGTGGATAGCAAGCTCTCTCTAGATTCTTGCCTCTCCAACCACATTCTACTAAAAAGGCACATCTGCGCCTCATGGCTGCTCCCGAGAGGGTAAACGAAGCTGTCTGGGGCAATTAGTAACAAAGCAACCTCCTTAAAAGTGATATGTTATTTCTGCAGAATATAAGTAGTTTGAGGCAAATATAAAAACAATAAAACAGACTACAGTATATGCATTTCTAGCTTACTATATTCCACAAGTATACTAATTCCCTAGAGACTCTCATATAGGGTCTCTTACTGTGTCAACTTGATCCCCTGCCAGAGCTCACGAATAGCTCTCTAGACAAACCTGACAACTTCACCTCTTCACTCCCTTGGCTCAAAGAAGCCATTGCATTATCTTTATATGTATTTCCCATTGAATTTGACCCTTGTAGACGTATATTAATAGTCTACTACCTGTAGTAAAAAGCGAGATCAAAAACCAACAATAACTTTTATTCAGTGACCCCCTATGTACAGTACTCATAAAACTGTTACATCTTGGTATGCCCAAATTTATTATATATTAGCTCCACACTGGTAACAAATACTATTACCTTTTTATCCACCATAACAAGCTCAGAGGGTTGGGGATGATACTGAATCCTCTCCTTTAGACAGCCATAATGCTGCGTTGCAGATCATGTCACTTTTTGCAGATGCTGAAAGACTTTGCAGTTAATAGCCAGGATGCCTATTCTGGCAATATCATTCAGGCAGTTTCTCCAGAAATGGTTAAGGAGAATGTGTGTCTAATAGATAGTGTGTGGAACATGTGTGTCTAATAAAAAGCTTGGCCTCTATATGTCTCATCCTCATATGTCTCTATCAGGAAGAAGTCCTCAAGATTTGGCTTCTAATTCTGCTGTCTTGCTCTGTTCCTTTCTTTTTTCTCTGCTCCACCTTCTTCTACTAGGTATCCACGACTTGCCCTCACAGGTCTGACTGCAGGTACACATCATTCCCTTCTACACCTTTTCCATTTCTTTTTTTCCCCAGTCGTCTGACCCAAACCTACCTTCTCTGCTATCATTCTCCTCCAGTGCCTCAAACCCATAACCTGAATGAGGGATTTGCACAGTGTTGCTGTTAAGAAGTCAGGAAGCATGTATGCCACAGTCTGATGGAGAAATGTTCTAATAATGGTTCACATGTGATAGAAGTGGCAGATTTTGAAAATGTTGCTTGTGTTCTTCAAAGCAGCACTATTTGCCCTTTGGTACAACCACTTGTTCACTTGGCTGGCTACTGTGTATCTTCTCATAACTGGATGATTTTTTTATTAAGTACATTAACTACATTTTCCCAAGTTGCTACGTGGGTTTTAATACCAGTTATCCCCTTATTCTCCCCTCCCTCAAAGTATATCTTAGCAGCTTCTTGTGTCCCTGCAATGAAACCAATAGCCCTTATATATATCCACAGGCCAAAACCACCATTAAGAGACTTCAGTTCACCCTTCCCTCTCGTCTTCCTTCCTTGCTCAGTTCTCTCCACCATGTTCCTTAATATCTGCTTGTTTTCTCTCTGTGTTTCTTCCCCTGTTTCTTGGTACAGCCTGCAAATCCCTTGCCTGTTACACCATTCACCAGTCCAAAGGTAGAAAGATCCTTTGCGGCCACTTACACCCACTTTGTGAAAATGCCCTAAATGTGCTGGCCTTATAACCTTGAAGATAACTAAATCAAAAGCCTCCAAGTTTCAAAGTAAGTCATTTTAGATGTATGGACTGTACAAAATCAAAGGAAGGAAAGTTCTGCTTAATTTCATTGACTAATACCGATAAGGAATTCAAATTAATTTTAAATTGACATTCCTGCCTAACACTGTATTTAGTGAGATCATGCTTTTGAATGTATATGCTTGACTTGAAGGGTAACTCTGCAAAGACTTACTAGAGGTTAACCTCTTCTTAGACATGAAGCTAGGAACTGCTCTTTTCTGAGGACTAATTCTGCTCTTGGTTATAATAAATGTAAAATGGGAAAAACTATATTAAAATAAATGGAACTACCAAAGTAATATAGCTATAAATAAGCCCAGAATCAGGTCCATTTTTCTCAACAGCATAATGACACTGGGTTCCCATTCACTTCTAAACACAATTTTTTTAAAGTACACATATAGAAAATAATTATTTGGTGATGGATGGAAAAATATATATTCCAGAGTGCTTTAAACAGCATATATTATTGGGCAAAAAATAAAATGTGGGTCATGCTTTAAAGAACTTCAGAAAAAGTTCTGAAAAAGGTTCAGCAACAACAACAAAACCCTTTAAGAAAATATTTAAATTTTCTCAGAAAAAATTATTGTGAAGTTTAGAAAACCTAGAATTAAAAGTAAAAATTCTGTTTAAATAATGAAAATAGGAAAAGTTCAGTGAAGTCAAATGTCAAAGACTTCCTATTTGAATTCACATAGTTCTACCTTATTAAAGGCTTGATTCTGCCACCAAACAAGCCCCAGGGCCTGTATTAGCTGTCTAAAGCCTCAGAGTGATGTACTGAATTATCTGAAAAACCCACTCAGTTCAAAGTCAGCTTCTGTGGATGTGTGGAGGCCTCCATGGAATGGTAGCAAGCATATCACACAGGAGTACATAGCCTTGCAACACTGCATGGAGGGGCATTTCATTTGAGGTCATATCTCCAACTTTGAGGTTAAGACATCATGGGCTGGGCTGGCCAGCTTTAAAACATGCCCCCGTTACTACTGGGCTGCCTGGTTTTGCCATTTGTAATGCAGCTTCATCATCTCTTCTGGGCATTTATACGCATGCATTTGTCTGCTCCAACATGCTGGAGAACCAGCACATCAGAGCAGACTCAATCAATTGAGTCTTGAATCTGCTCTGCACACAAGCTGACGTGCCCAGAACTGCATCACATGCATTTGTATAAATAGCAAAATGCACGTCAGCGCTGAGAAAATGGCAGCGGTACACTTTTGAACTAAAACACCTTCAATGTGTATTAGTTCAAAAGTGTGCTGCTGCCATTATCTCAGAGCTGATGTGCATTTCGCTGTTTATACAAATGCATGGGCCACAGCACCAAACGCTTTTAAAAGCATCTGGTGCTGCAGCGCAAGCATGTGTACCAATGCCATCAACTTGATCCCTGTCTGTGTGGATGACTCCTAGACTTGCAAGCAGTGGGCATAGAGTATAAAAGGGGTTCTGCTGCCATGCTATATTCTACACTATTTTGGATCCAAGCTATGTAATAGAGCTATACCTTGCATCAATGACAGGATTAAACCCTATCGCTAACAGCAATTTAGAAAATCTATCCTATATTACCACTTTTGTCTGGTTTCTTTTTGCACTTTTTATTGTATATGTTCATGTGTACAATAAATATGTTAACACTGAAGAGATCTTTGAATCAGTAGCATAACAGAGGGGCCAGAGGGGAGGGCACTGACTAGGGTAGCAGCCACGGGAGCTGATTTGGGGGTGGCACAAAAATAGCAACTGCTGGCCAGCTGTTACCCCCATCGGCAGCTGGCTCCTGTCCCTGCCCAGGGTGCAGAATCCCTTGTCCTACTTTGAATGGTGGGGACTGATACACCTGTCACACTAATATAAGTCAGATAGATTAGTTTAGTTCATAAGATTTGTTCAAAAGAACTTAGGTTAATTCATGACAAATATCTTACCCTGACAAAAGGTAGCATTGATCCTCTTGTAACCTTGAGGGCATTCCAGCATTTGACCGTATCCTGGATAAGCTGGAAAAAATGGTTAGTTATTACAATGTGTAACATATTTATTTAGAAAGCCCAACACTTAAATTACTATGCAAGTATTAAAAAAATCCTACATTAATATTTGTCAGGTTTTCTCAGGGCAATCACTTTAGAGTCAGGAAATATCAAAGTTAAGGACGTACATGCAAATTCAGTTGTCTGTGTATGTATGGCTACTGCCTTTAATTATCCAATCAAATCCTGCATCTCAGATACAACAACAATTAGAATAGTTTGAAATTAAGAAACTTGTTTTTATTCTACTCATTGTCATATATACTTGATTCATTTTTGCTCAAAGCATCTACAAACACCAGCTTCAAGGAGAGACCAAGCTGCAAAATTTTGACTTGAAAACTAGTTGTTTGAGAAATAAATAAGCTACTGAAAATAATTGTTAGAATAAGAACTTGTCTGAAACCTTAACTATAGCACATGCTGCTGCCTACATCATAATACATCTGACGTATTTGAAATCCATGGGAAAAATAAGGAGTCTAACATTATATTTTTATAACATTCAATCATCACTACAAGAAAGGAAACAACTGTGATTTCTCTCTTAATCTTTTGTGTTTTAGAAGTCTCATTTACTGACCATTCATATGTTCTAATATCAATTACAAAGGGCAGAATAACAATAGAAACTGAATTTAGTTAGCCAAACTAAAGGGTCCTCATCTAAGTAATGTCTTTGTCTTTATTTATTGTTTTTTCTCTACTTAAAATTGATTTGGAGACCTTGAAAGCTGTTCACTGACTCTCAAATTTAATGTAATACAATGGAGAGAAGTTTCTTTTTTGAGTAATTGTAATACAGTCAAAATGGAAAGTTACACTTTGGCAGCATGTTACATTTTATTAAACATATAAGAACAAACTTTTGGTATTCTGAACCCACAAGTGCTTTAGCAAGTGCCAAGAAAATATTTACACAGTAAGAATGATATAGCAGATACACCTTACATTTAGTTAATTATTTTTTCTTTTTAAATATTTTTTTACATATTAACTGGGCCAAATGTCTAAAAATAGTTTTTCATCAATACAAAGCTATCAGCTAACAAAGAACTGTTTGAATGGAACACATTTTCACTTGATTTCATTAGCATTGAACATTGGAGTTGCCCATTTATCCCTGAAGCTTAGTTTACCTGGGAACCAGTCAACTACAGAGAAAAAACGAAAGAGGCAAGTGGTAACTTTTTATTGTGTTGTAAGAGGTTAAGATAAAAGAATCATTTAAATTATTTTTTTTTTACATTTCATATTAAAAGGAAATGTATCTCTTCTGGAATCAGTCACTGCAGCAGCAAATTTTGGAGTTAAATATTTGCTGTTTAATAATTATTGTGTTTTTGTTCTGCAAATAATTGCTTAGTTAGAAAGTGGCAGGCAAGGTTCTTTGTGTAGATGTGATATCTTTTATTAGACCAACTGAGTAGTTGGAAAAAGGTTTTTTGCAAGCTTTCGGGTGCAGTCACCCATCTTCAGGCATAGGAAGTCTCTGCTGTTCTGAGACTCCAAGGAATGAGAGAAGCTAAAAGTGTGACAGGACGTCAGTGGGAATGTAAATAGGTGGAAATTAGGAAAACAAAAAGGTAGAGTAGGGAAGAGAGGGGGGAAGAATGACAGTGAAAATGCAAATTCCTCCTGATCAAGATTATCTTAACAGGTAAAATGACTAAGTGCTACAGTAATACAATAAATATATAATATTTGTAAGTTTCTAAAGATGCAGCTTCCTTTAATTATATTATGAGAAGACATGGGCACGTTACTTCATGTAGTGGCATGCAGTCATGGTTTTAAGACGCTTGCAATTTCTGCTTTTACTGTGGGTGTAATTATTTGATTTTGAATGAAATAGTTGGATGTTATGGCTGCCTATGCACGTGCTTGGAGGTCAGGGGGGAGCATTTTAATTAGAGCAATTCCTGGACAGTTGCTCTAATTTAAACATTTCACCATCACGTGGATTAAGCTCCTTGTGTCTATTAAGTGTGTGTATTAAGTACTGACATGGCCAGAGGGGCACTCTAACTCAAGCTCATTTGACTAGGTTTTATTAAAGCAACCCTGCAGACGTTCTGAAACATGGGGTGGAGCTTAATACACATGACGATGAGGCTATGCTGAAGCGTTCTAAATAGAATGTGTCAGAGCACATCTATAGAAATCCCATGATGTCATGGTTCTAGGGATATCTGCACCTTTATCCAATCTATTGCTGATTTTCTGATGGCATTTATTCACGTGTCAGGCCTCAGATGCCTTTACCTGTCCTGGGGGTAGAATTCTGCAATTCTCCCACTCCCTCAACTGGGCCCTGTGCATTGACTATGTTTACCCAGCAGGTCTGAATTAATTCTGACACCTGCAGTTTGCTTCAGAAGTTAATGGCTGATGGCACGCAGTGACAAGAGAGCCTTCTTAAAACCATAATGTTTAGAAGTAGAAACAAAGCATTTAGAGATTAAAAAAAAAGATGTACCAACAACAAGCAGTCTCTGTATGCATCTCTCCTATGCAGGGTTTACCATTCCCTGACAGTAAGCCAGGCAACTTATTTTCTTCAGTGTTCCCTCTCTCCCACTCCAAAGACCACTCTTTGGTACCCCTGAATAACTCTTCTCTTTCAAAAGGTCCTTTTAAAACTGCCAGACTCCTTTTATTCTTCCACATTCTTCCCAGGCTCCAGGCACTCTACATAAAACTCATTTTTGTGGGTTGGGTGGGGAGGAGGTAGTGTCAGAGTCAGAGTGATGTTGTAGCCATGATAGTCCAGGACTTATGCAAGAATGAAGTCCTGTAAAAGCCAGGACCCCCCCAAAAAACCTTTCCTCTCAAACATAGTAGAACAAGCATTGCTCCTCAATGTTCATCAAGTATTCACTGAGGGGTCAAACCATACTTATTTTCCTTTCAGCCTGTTTTTCTAGTGAGTTTCCTAATAACCAGGTTGATGCACAGAATCCTGATGGAGCTGCTTCATATATTATTATGAAGCAGCTCCAATTACATCCCAATATTAGTATTTTAAAACAAATGGAACTTAGAGTGAAAAGTCTCACTATTGGCCTATTGGCTTCCAGTGAAGTCAACAGGCATGTCTACATGTGTGCTTTAAAGCACAGTAGACTAATTTGTTGCACATTAAAGCATCACTGTCTACACATGTGCAGCAATTACACTGGTGTGGGCTAATTGACTGTGCTGTCAGATAGTTCCATCAGACACAAGTACTATCCAACAGCAGAGTAAATTACTGAGCCTAAATATGTAGATGGTGATGTTCGTATTAGTTTACTCCAGTGCAAATTGTGCTGGAGTTTATTCAGTTGCATTAATTGCACAGGTAGACGCGCCCAGTGGGAGTTTTAATACAGATTTAACGAGGAGCAGTTAGGCCATTATTGGGTACATCTACACAAGATGTTGAATGTGCAGTAGGCTAATTAGCTGCATAGTAAATGTCGCGAGTCCACACGTGTGCCTCTATTAGGTTGAAGTAAACTCATTTACTCTGCAGCAGGATAGTACTTGTACTTACAAGTACTATCCTGCTGCAGAGTTTTTCACTCCTCAGAAGCACATGAGTAGACACTGCCCCGGCTGGCTAGGGCAGAAGGGTGCTTCAGTGCATGGGCTGTCTGCTGGCTAGCCCCCTGCTGAATCAGCCTTGTCCCCCAGCCACTCACTCTGCAGCACATTGAGCTGGGGGGGGGAGTAGCTCTGGGATGGCAGGCTGACCCCCAGGGCCCTCTACCAGCCAGAGCTACTCTGACCTTGCTCAACGTACTGCAGTCCTGGGTGCACATGTAAACAGCACACACAGAACACTAAGCTTGCATAGACATGCCCAATGAGTTATTTTATGTCATTATGCACTTTCACTACAGACCCAATTCAATTCTCATTGAAATCAATGACTGCTTCACTGTTATTTTCTATGATGAGGGTGGGCAATCTAGTCAAACTAGGGGCAGTATAGCAGAAATGGGCCTTTTGTCCTTTTCCTAAGGGATAACTGTACTATGGTATGTATCCTTTTCCTGGTGCGGCTTACTGTCTCCTTCACATCAACTCAGCTATTCTGTACAATGCACTGCTGGATGTGAGGTTGGAACCGAGGCTTCACCAGTCCCATCATTCATTCCTGTCAACTTGCATCTAAACAGGACAAAATGGCTCTGGCAGCCATAGCAGCATTTTTCTAATTTTCTGCTCATGTTTTTCACTGTTCTAAAACAGAATTAAACTTATAACCACAGCAGCAGTCTTGAGCCAAGGCATACGTACACTGCAGGGCCAAAGTAAAACTTTCAGCAGACAGTATTTAGTAAGTCACTAAAGTACATATTTACATATATGCAAAAGTTCCATTTAAGTCAATGGGACTTAACAACATGCCTAAAATGAAGCACATGCTACAGTATATAACTAAACAGGGAAACAAAAGAAAGAATTGTGGTACTTCCTGGTAGTGAAACTTGAGCTATGCTTAAATGCTTTGCTGAACTGGGGTCTTCTTGACAACCAAATAGGACATTCAACCTGTGCAAAACTTGGCATTATAAAAATGCATCAATCTTAAGGAAAGGTCAGGAAGCATAACACCACAAAAGAGAAAGCCAAAGAAAATTTGTTTTCTTCCAAAATATCAAGTGGGAAAGTAATACCAATTCACAAAAGAAAACTGGAAAAATGACATGGGAGTATCATGACCCTGAAACTGCATCCTGTGAATGAATCAGCAATCAGGCATGAATACCATTCAAATGTCAATGTGTTTAATACTTAATTCCTTCCTATTCCTTCCTTTCTGGTAGTTTTAAAGCTGAGTCAATTTGCTTAGCTTTATGCAAAATGAGTCAGCCTACAAAATACTTTAAAATAGTAAAAGGGTGCATGGGAGAGAGGGTTTCATAAGAAGGAAGATTCTTTCTTTCAGCAGGTACCTGAATAAAAAAACATGAATACCCCACATGTTTACGAACTCCACACTCATTACTCAGTCAGGAAGTATCTCCAAGCTTACTATTGCAAAATCCCACAAGTTTTATGTATCAATTGCTCCCTATGTCTTACAAATAACCTGACTTTTTTGCACTAATTAGAAGAATAAAATAATAGTATTTCATATCAATTAGCCTGTTTTTACAAATGTGCTCGTGTGTTGTTAGCTCAGTTTTCAGTGGTAAATTTCTACATACTAAATGGTTATGCCTATTCTTTTCAACCACTGAGAAGGAGGACTGCGATTCAGAAGCTATGCATTCCTCCAATTAAGTTCCAGCCTAACTGCACCATACCTAATACACAAATATAGGATCAAACTCCAGAAAAAGATAGTGGCACCTGCAGATTCTTTTTTAAGCTAAAGGAGGAAGTGAGATGCTGCTCTCACCTTTATGTAATATTTTAGTAGGTACAGCATTTGCACAGCAGTTAGGGAGATGTGGCTTGAAGTTCCTCCTTGACCTAAGGGAGGAACACACATCATTCAGGAGATGTAGTTCCAATACCACTGACACTTACAAGAGTGACCCATCAGTTCTTGGAGAAAGGGTTTTCATGCCTACCTTCAAGAGAGCATTCTGGGCTATGGCTCTGAAGTGGATGGAGATGCCTTTGGGAAACAGGATTTAAAACACAGCCCATTCCTCAATACTTCCTATTGGCTCTCTCCAGTCACCTGCACGCAGAGATTCATTTAGATGATTACCTACTCAGCAAACTGGCTGTTCTAGATTCCACTCTGAGGCATCTAATTCTCCCCTTGTATCATACAAGAAGTGCAGGTGGCTCTGAATTCTGCTATGGGAGTTGGGTTTAAAAATTTAGACCCTGCAGCACTTAGTTTTAATGGGTGCCTATAGATGTGTGGGGATGCTGCTCCGACACACTATAATTACAGGGTGTCAGAGCAGCCTCAATTAATTGAGTCTGTTGGATCATGCTCATTAGCATGCTTCAGCAGCCTCCACGTCTTGTGTATTCAGTGTCTCCATACTTCAAAATGGTGGCGGGGGTGCTTTAACTAAAGCTTGTCAAACGAGCTTTAGTTAAAGAGCCCCCACCACCATTTTGAAGTGAGGGATGCTGAATACACAAGACACTGCATGTGCTTTAGAGTGGCCCTTGGAGCCACTCTAATTTAAATGTCCCCCACCTCCAGAACACATGCAAAGAGGCCCAACGTGCCTAAGTCTAGTAGTGTAACTATGAGTGGGTGAGCAGAAATGAGCCCTGGGCATTGCATAAGGGATACCCTAATGAACAAGCGGGCACTGAACACCCTCATTGCCCTCTCTCCCTTGCACCTTGCCACTTCTCTGCAGCAGCTCTGGAAGCACAGTGCAGAGAAATGGTGGCAGCATGCATTGCAGGAGCAGTGGCTGGAGGTTTGCTGTTACTATGGGAGATATCACTTCCTTTCTTGCTACTAAAAACTGATGTGTATAGTGTAGTACTGGCCAGTTATGCTCTGCTTAAGTCTCTTACTGCATATAGCCTTTAAGATGCAAAAAGTACCTTACTAGTCTTTAAACTAAGGTGCTCTGAAACACAAAATGCCCTACCCATAAAACAATTGGCCAGACTAACTCAATAAAAATCAGTGCAGTATTAATACTCCCGAGAATCTGGAACCCCTGGCAACACTGGCCCACCAGAACACATGTAATACCCAGGAAAGGTCAGTGATACTATGATCTAAAGCTTTTTTTGTTTGAGAATTTTACATAGAATACATTACTAGAGTTGGAGACAAATATTTGTAGGCAAAACAATCAATGTATTTCCCTGGCTTAGGAACCTACTGTTGCTAAATGTAAAGAGGCAAAGTGGGCTTATTGTACAAAGTGCTGAAATAGAAGTATGTTTAATTCCCTGCATTGCCATGGGTCTGCTGGGTTACTTTGTGAAAGTCGCACCATCTCTGTGTGCCCGATTCTTCTCATATATGAAATGGGTATAATGATAATCAGGGATCCAGGTTTTCCATTTCTCATGGGAAAACGGAAAAAAACCGTGGATTTTCCCTTTTAACTGAGAAAAACAGGGATTTCTCATTTTAATGGAGAAACACATGGATTTTCCACTTTTGCAAAGAGGTCTCTGCAGGCTGGCAGAGTTCCAGCCTGAAAGAGGCTGGGGGGAGCGGGAGGAGGGCAGTCAGGAAGGGGGCTCCATGTACATGTTCCCAGCTGTGGCAACAAGCTTTCCCTCCTGGCCCCGCTCTGCCCTACCATGCTGGGTCCTACTCACTGGGCCACAGAGGCCCCTGGAGGGAAGGCAGCAGAGCAGGGAGCCCATGCCCGCAGTGGGCAGCCTGCATCCACCCTCCACATGGGCTCTGGTCTAGCTGTGCCACCTGCAGGGGAGGGGGAGCTGGGCTCCATGTTCTGCTCCCCACTCAGACCTCCCATAGGTGGCAGCCTGGGCTTGGGCGCTGCTGCAGGGGGCAGGAGGCTGCGGACCCAGGTCCCTGGCCCCATATCCCTGGCAGCTGGGGGCCCTCTCCAGCAGGGTTGAGGGGCAGGGGGCTGTGGGTGGTGAGGGGCACCTGCAGGGCTTTGGGGCTGTAGCTTGGGAGTGAGGGGCCTGGACCAGCATCCTGGTGAGCAGAGGGGTTAGGGGGAGCTTTGATTTTCCATGATAAAAAAACCCAAATCAAATACCAAAATGTATAGGTATTTAGAATTTATTTTATTATAGTCATTGAGACACTGGTAAGCTTCAAAATTGTTTTAAAATTGTAAATAAATCAATAAAACTGTGTGTTCAATTGATACATACGTATACATACCATACATACATACATACATATATATATATGTGTGTGTACATACGTATGTATGTAGCAGCATTTCATTTTAATTGCAGATTTTGGGGTTTGTATCAGAGAATTTGCAATTTTTAAACAGAGAAAACCAGGATCCCTGATGATAATTGCATCTTTTGTAAAGAGCTTTGTGATCTACTCATGTAAAACATTCTGTAAGAGAGAGATGTTTTCATTATTGCTATTAATAAATAAGAATAGTTATTTAGCCTGATGGTAAGGGTTATTATTAAAACTCATCCAACAGATTAAGTTTACATTTCATGCAAATCACTAAATAGCTATCTTTGATTATTTTGTCAACTACTAGTCAAAGGTGATGTCTACATGAACTGTGACGCGACGCTACTGTGCAGTAGTAATGAGCTATAGTGCAGTCAGCACCACCAGGAAGCTGTGCGGGGATGCTACTGTGCAGTAACGCCAGTTACTGTACAGTCATTTAGTACTTGGGTATGCAAGAACTGTGCAGTCCGCTTCCTGTGCAGATGAGGCCAAAGTGTTGGGTAAATCTTCTTGGAAGCCTAATTGTAGAAAAAGTATTTCAATATAACTGACAGCTTAGAGCCTAGAAAGTTTTGGCTTTAAATTTCAGAAGTTCATTTAAGGTCTCAAGAGGTGACTGCATTCTCTACAAGAGGGAACTGGCACCTCTATAATTTAACATTTCTGTGTGAACATTCAAAATAAATCCAGCTGGAGGAGGCAAGATGATTCAATGTCATTAGCTCCCTTACACTGAGAAAATGCAGCAATGTAGCACTAGTTTTCTAAGGGGAGTAAAATAAAAACATTTAATTTGCTAGCCTTTGAAGGTCACAAAAGGGTACCAACTTTTGTCACCTTTCTTATATCAGATGATATAGCTCTTTTAGAATATAATGTTATTTTTTCTTTTAAAAATGATATTTAGAGAACAGAAAAGGAAAGCAATTAAAAAAACAACAATGAAATCATACTTACATGGCTTCTTGGGACATTTGTGACATTTATTAAAGCCCCAGGAAGTACCCACAGTTCCACAGCAGTCTTCTTGCTTTGAAAGACCAGGGAGTGCTTTGCCACACTGGAATAATAATAATACTCAGGTTAGTGTTATTGCAACATACTCAGAAGAGGAATGCAGCTGTATCTTGTAATCATCTTGGGGTAATCTGTTGCCTGTGCAGAGGGCCACTGAAGACTCACTGGAGACCTCAGTGGAACTTAAGTAATGCATCAGCTTTAGGCTGGCCTTTTGCATATAGGAGAACTGGTTCAGCTTTAACAAATTTTGCCTTTGTAATTTTTCCCTTCAACTCCTGGACTAAAAAAGCAAAAGAGAATAATATGCCACTGAAATCAGTAAGTATATTTCCACACTAGAAACTCTTCATTGGCATGAACTCCTTCAATTCTTCCTCTTAAAAGTCTGTCCCTACACTTTTCCAAAGGCGGATAAATGATCTCAAACACCATTTGGATTTTTCTTTTAAAAAATAGACAAATATATAGTAGTAAGTAATTCCTTTTACGTTCTTTCCTATTTTATTTTTAAAGTACTAATGGCTCTAAAACCTTAAGTTCCAGCCAATATGCTTACTGTTTATTATAAGCAGTTACCAACATTTCCAAATTATGCTGAAATATTCTAGTATTTGAAAACTGAAGGAGAACTTAATAGAGGCCAGGCCTCTATTAAGATATCTAGACATACGTCTCTTTATTCATTCAAATAACTGACTCAGCCTGGCAGTTCTTACTAAGCTATAACTCCTTTATTTTAAAAAATGTTGTTTTCCCTGAAAAAGAACAACATGATTAGTACTTTTATCAGTAAAGTCATTAACATTTAGCAGCAGTCAAAATTTAAATTATCTCTTGACTACTGGCATTTTTTTTTCATGTTGCAAGACAAAAGAACTCTAGATCAGGCATGATCCAGATGTGCCAGATGTGGCCCATGGCAACATGTCATCCAGTGTGCAGGACACCCCATGTGTCCCCATGGGAGTGGTGGCACTATTCCCCTGCTGCCAAATATCCAGACCCATGAAGAGCCCCAGATTGGATGTCGAATCCCAGCATGTAGGGCCAGGCAGGGGCAGTACGAGGCCCCAGTGCCCAATCTTAAGAGTATGGGTGGGAGGAGGTGATATCAGGCCCCCTTGACCCAATCTCAGCATGTGTAGAGTGGGAGGAGGTGGTGCCATGTCCCAGGACCCAATATCAGAGCACAGAGAAGAGAGGGATCAGTACTGGGTCTCAGGGCCCATTCTGGCCCACAGTAAAGCTCTGTGCCATGCAATTTGGCCTGTGGGGCCAAAGGGTTGAGCACCACTGCTCTAGATGGATTTTTTTTGCCTAGAGATTAGAGAGTCCAAGTAGTTATACACCTGCTGCCTATTCAAAAAGTGTCTGCAGTATGGAACCTCTGCCACCACACATGTTTTGAATGTATGTTCAAAGGGAATAATGAACTAGGCATGGTCTGGTATAAGCATTTTTAATGAGCCAAAAGATATATTGTCACTGAAGAGTTAATTCAGGCTCTAAGCCCCCTTTTTGTCAACAGACAAAAAACTCTGATTAATAGTGCTTTCAGCATGAAATAGTTGTTTGTTTGTGGGGTATATATTAAATCCCAGCCGCTGGTAACCCACTGTTTTTGCAGGGAGGATGCAGTGTAAACCATTTCAGCACTGAGTCCCCCAACATCTTCCTACAATTTCCTCATCTGCTCAAAAAGACAGAAAACTTTTCCCCAAAATTCACTGGGAAACAAATCATAGAACAGCTCAGTTAGATGCACAGGGGACTATGGGGCACACAGAGACCATAGATCAAGGAAGCATTGAGGGGTGAGTGCTGTACTAATGAGACCACGGTATTTTGGTATGGCTCAGTAACATAACTGGTTACAGCTGAGTAGACTAACCAAGGTGCTGAGGCTTGCATCTTATTTATCCAATTCTGCAGTGAAGATGTGCTCTCTGTACCTTAAAAATCTAAGTCCTAGGTTTGAAAATAGCTTTGGCTCTTACACGCCTACAAACCTGAACTGTATCAGCTTGAGTCTTAGATTCCTTAGTGTTAAAAGATGTGCCTATGGAATCCTGTACAGACTAACTAAACTTGCTGAGAAATAGAATAAATTAGCCCACATAGAGCTCCTTGCTGCTGTGACTAGACTTCTTCTGGTTCTCAATCTCGTTCTTTTTTACAGAAAGCTCAAGTATCGCTACACTGAACTGCAGTCTACGGTATGGATGTACTTTATATGTTACTACTTAAAAATGGAAATTTGCCTAGTAAGTCAGTTTGGTGCTCTTGAAAATGTTGTCCAAGAATTAAAATAACTGCTACAGAAACTACCTGCACTTGAACATAGGAATGTAAGATTGGAAGAGGTTCTCTCAGGCCAGTGAGGCCTGTGCCCAGCATTCTCAAGCAACCAATTACCCAAAGAATTATAGGAGGACACATCCTTTTCAAGAAAGACGTATCTCTTCACGTCAGAAAGGGTAAAACTTCAATATCAAAGTAAAAATCTAAAAATTAAGAATTGTGAAAATACTTGAAAATGTCCAGTGTTTTCAGAACTGTTAGTCTAAACAGGAATAGGAAGTTCTTATGTTTTTTTAAAGACTATTCTCCTAGTCTGTGTATCTATTGCACTCTGAAATAAGATTTCATCTGCCACTGGAGGAGAGACATATCAGTTAAGAGACAGGAATCAGACAAAAAGTCTACTGTATTCAGTAGGGCCAGGATTTAACTGCAAGTCTTTTTCCCTACAGCCTGAGGCAATCCTGGTATAGTAGGTTTAGCATTATGTTTTAAAGAGGGTAAAGGCTTTCAGAAAACCTGCTAGATTTTACATATGTATCATCAATAAAGACATGCCATAACTCCAAAGTGCCTAAGTAAAACAAAACTGTCTCTGAGCAGATGAAATTATATACTGAATCCTGTTACTCAGTACCTCAAATTGCAAATCTTACAGCTCATACCATTTAGAAAGTATTCATAAGGTGCTGACACAAGTGACATCTTGTCATGCAACTGACTTTCTGAAGCATTCTACAGCCATGCCCTTACAGAAGTGCGTGGCTGCAGAGTGCTTTAAAAGCGACTGATCCTGTGACAGTCTGAACCCTCATTACATGAGGATGTAGCAGCACAGTAGGGGGTGCTACAATGAAGTAGGAGTGTACAAAGCGGGCCCTATTCAATTCGGATTCGGCCGAAATCAGGGACAGTGATTCAATTTGTTGATTTGGATCACTGTCCCTGATTTGATTCAGCTGAATCCGAATCTGAAGATTCGATGCTGATTTGGAGAATCAGAGATTTGGACACAGACACAGCTTTAAAAGTTTCTTCTACATACCTCGAGGTACCAGTGCAGCTTGTGAATGCTGCAATGCTGGGGCGCATGGAGCATCCCACAGGAGTGCAGGGGGTCCCCCCATGTGCTCAGCAGCGAACCTGGAAGTGGACCGGAAGTACTTCTGGTCCACTTCCGGGTCCGCCCGGGAGCGCGCAGGGGGCCACCCCATGCCCCACCCCCCCACCTTGATGATCAGCCACAGGGGGACTCCTGGTGCCCCCACAGACCCAGGAGGCACCAGTCGCTGAGCCGGGGAGGGGGTGTCCCCCAGCCCACTCCCCAGTGGACCCCGGAGTGGACTGGAAGTGCTTCTTGGTAATGTGTCTGGCCTAAACATAAATCCTAACTCCTGGCTAATTTCCAAGTCTTTACTTACAGCGAATCATCCAGGCCGGGAGACATGTTGCTTGTTGCTTTCCAAAATGCCCACCACAAGGAAGACAGCGTTCCCCGCTCCCCTCAGGAATTTATCCAGCCAAGTTACCTGGTTGACCAGCCTGAACCAAAAATAAAGCAAGAGAGAAAGAGAAGGCTCCACTTGGAATGACCCAAGTGATGGGAAGAGAGAGGGGGAGTTCTTCACAGAGGATTCAGCTGAAGACACTCCAAAGCAGAGTGCTTTCATTAACTTGTGTCAGCCCATGCTGGGAGCATGGCTCGGCTGACACAGCACAGCCCTGCTCCTGGCACTGTCTTCAGAATGGGAGGAAGAGAAGAGAAGGGAGGGAATTCTCTCTGGGTTTTGGAGCCCCTCCAAGGTGGAGGGACAGGGGGCAGGCTCCAAGCCACCCATCCCACTTTCCAGTGCTGGCTGGGCAAACCCCAAATCAAGCTCCCTCTGCTCCCTTTCCCCCATCCCATTCTGAAGACAGCACTGTAGCTGGGGGGAGGGGGAAGGGAGGAGGAAGGGGCAGGGCTAGGGGAGAGCAGCTGCAGACTTGCAGCTGCTATAACCTGCAGCTTGATCCAACCCCTGGGACCCAACAGCGAATGTCTGTTGGATCTGGGAGATGAAGGTAACTCATGGTGCTTCTTTTGAAGAGCCATGAGTTAGAGTGGAAAGCTACATGTCTGTCAGGACCCATAATGTTTCCTTCAAGGTGATAGCCCAAAATATTTAGAAAGTGTTGTATTCACAGCTTTATATAACACTGCCCTCTCAACCTGGTATCTCAATTGGACATTCTGTTTAGATGGACTGTTTTTCTTTTTAACTAGAACTGCTCAGCCTGCTTTCTTAGGACTGCTCACTGGACAGAAGAACAGAGTTCTTCTCTGGAGTTCTTTGTCAGTGTTGTCTGTGCATATCTGCACTCATATTCTTCCCCTACTCCCTGCCCCTATGCTTTTGCCTCACTTCTATTACTATTTGGTCTCTGCAATTCAGCGAGAGGAACTGAGGTGGCTGATGCTGCTCCTGCCCTCAAGATCTCAGACACGGAGCATCTGAGCCAGGACAGGCACTTATGTAATACCCAGGGGGCACAGCTTCTTCACAAGGTGGCAAGCACCAAGAGCACATCTTAACCAGCGTGACTGTACAGAGGAAAGGCTCCAGAAGCATGGTTTAATTGCTTTATTTTTATTTTTGGAATATGAAATGTGTCATTTAACGGTACTAAATTTAAAACATAACATTTAATGGAGATAATGATGATGGACCAAACCCCTCTCTGAGTTTAGGTGTGGTGCTG